GAGCCTAAGACAGGAGGGCCGCCCTTGCTGCTGCCTTATCCCATGACGGGTCTAGAAGGTGGGGATGAGTTGACCCAACCTAAGACATGCGCAGTTCCTGAGGGGTTGTTTTCTCATCTTAAAATAATAAAAAGGGGGACCTGTCCGGAGCTGCGCGCTCCAGCCATAGCGAATAATAACTGACGATTAAAAAACACCTGAGCTCTATTCATTTCCACCCCATGCCTCCTCCCTAGATTTACCTTTTTCCCTGTATTAATACTCATAAGATGGTGCTCTTCCTGCTTCTCTTCACCCATTTTCCCAGCTCCGCGAAAATCGTTACTTGTAGCGCAGGGTGCACGCAGACGTCCTGGGGGGACGGAATACAAATACGCTACCTGGCCCACGGCCCTCGCCCGATGAGATCATCTACGCCTCTGGCCCCAACGCCTCCCTCCAAGTGTATAATAGGCATTGCATTACCACCATTAAACGAGACTTGATCAGAGCACTGTCTTGTCTCCATTTCTCGTGTCTCTTGTTCCCCAAATTCCCACTCCCCCCTCCAGGGCCTGCTTCGACGATCCCGCGGGCCGGGATAGTTTGTGACCTAAAACTGGGGTACAAATGCCCCTGAGAGAGCAGCAGTATACTGGGATAGATGAGGATGGTCACATGGTGGAGAGGCGTGTTTTTGTGTACCAGCCCTTCACCTCTGCTGACCTTCTCAACTGGAAAAACAATACCCCGTCCTATACTGAAAAGCCACAAGCTCTAATTGATTTGCTCCAAACTATTATCCAGACCCATAACCCCACTTGGTCTGATTGCCACCAGTTGCTCATGTTCCTCTTTAACACAGATGAAGGGCGGAGAGTGTTCCAAGCAGCAACCAAGTGGCTAGAGGAACATGTACCAGCTGATTGCCAAAACCCCCAAGAGTATATAAGGACCCAGTTACCAGGAACTGACCCCAGGTGGGACCCAAATGAAAGAGAGGGTGTGCAAAGGCTGAACTGATACAGGGAAGCTCTCCTGGAAGGACTAAAGAGGGAAGCCCAGAAGGCCACAAACGTTAACAAGGTCTCTGAGATCATTCAGGGAAAAGAAGAAAGTCCAGCACAATTTTACGAGACTGTGTGAGGCCTATCATATGTATACTCCCTTAGATCCTGATAGCCTTCAAAATCAGCGCATGATTAACATGGCTGTAGTTAGTCAAAGTGCAGAAGACATTAGAAGAAAACTGCAGAAATAGGCTGGGTTTGCAGGGATGAATACTTCACAGTTATTAGAAATAGCTAACCAGGTGTTTGTAAACAGGGATGCAGTAAACTGTAAGGAAAATCTTACAAAAAGAATGAACATTCTTACAAAAATCTTACAAAGAGAATGAACGCCAGGCCTGGCAAAATGCCGACCTGTTAGCTGCAGCAATTAGAGGAGTCCCCCCAAAGAGGCAAGGGAAGGGCGGCCTGGGGAAAGAAACTCAGCCTGGCTGTCAGAGTCTGCAGTGTAACCAGTGCGCTTATTGTAAAGAAATGGGACATTGGAAGAATAAATGCCCTCAGCTAAAAGGAAAACAAGGAGACTCAGAGCAGGAGGCCCCAGACAAGGAGGAAGGGGCCCTGCTCAACCTGGCAGAAGGGTTGTTGGACTAAGGGGGACCAGGCTCAAGTGCCCCCAAAGAGCCTATGGTCAGGATGACAGTTAGGGGTAAAGACATTGATTTTCTTGTAGATACAGGTGCTGAACATTCTGTAGTAACCACCCCAGTCGCCCCCTTATCCAAAAAGACTATTGACATAATCGGAGCCACGGGGGTTTCAGCAAAGCAAGCTTTCTGCTTGCCCCAGACTTGTACTGTAGGAGGACATAAAGTGATTCATCAGTTTTTGTACACGCCTGACTGTCCCTTGCCCTTGTTGGGAAGGGACTTGCTTAGCAAGCTGAGAGCCATTATCTATTTTACAAAGCACAGCTCTTTGCTGCTAAAGTGACCTGGAACAGGAGTCATTATGACCCTTATGGTATCCCGAGAGGAGGAATGGAGACTTTTCTTAACTGAGCTGGGCCAAGAGATAAGATCAGCTCTGACTAAGCGGTGGCCAAAAGTATGGGTAGAAGACAACCCTCCAGGGTTGGCAGTCAACCAAGCCCCCGTACTTATAGGAGTTAAGTCTGGGGCCCAGCCGGTTAGGCAAAAACAGTACCCGGTCCCCAGAGAAGCTCTTGAAGGTATCCAGGTCCATCTCAAGCACCTAAGAACCTTTGGAATTACAGTTTCTTGTCAGTCTCCATGGAATACTCCCCTCCTGCCAGTTCCCAAGCCAGGGACCAAGGACTACAGGCCACTACAGGATTTGCGCTTGGTTAATCAAGCTACAATGACTTTACATCCAACAGTACCTAACCCATATACATTGTTGGGGTTGCTGCCAGCTGAGGACACCTGGTTCACCTGCTTGGACCTGAAAGACACTTTCTTTAGCATCAGATTAGCCCCTGAGAGCCAGAAGCTGTTTGCCTTTCAGTGGGAAGATTCGGAGTCAGGTGTCACTACTCAGTACACTTGGACCCAGCTTCCCCAAGGGTTCAAGAACTCCCCCACCATCTTTGGGGAGGCATTGGCTCGAGACCTCCAGAAGTTTCCCACCAGAGACCTAGGCTGCGTGTTGCTCCAGTACGTTGATGATCTTCTGCTGGGACACCCCACGGCAGTCGGGTGCGCCAAGGGAACGGATGCCCTACTCTGGCACCCGGAGGACTGTGGGTATAAAGTGGCCAAGGAAACAAGCTCAGATCTGCCGACAGCAGGTACATTACCTGCGATTTACTATCCGACAGGGGGAGCGCAGCCTGGAATCAGAAAGAAAGCAGGTCATTTGCAATCTACCGGAGCCTAAGAGCAGAAGGCAGGTGAGAGAATTCTTAGGAGCTGTGGGGTTTTGCAGACTGTGGATCCCAAACTTTGCAATATCAGCCAAGCCTTTGTACGGGAACCTATGGGAATCCCAACAACAGCAAACTTTTCATGAGTTAAAGGAAAAACTTCTGTCAGCCCCAGCCTTGGGGCTACCCGATCTGACAAAGCCTTTTACATTGTATGTGTCAGAGAGAGAAAAGATGACAGTTGGAGTTTTAACCCAAACTGTGGGGCCCTGGCCGAGGCCGGTGGCCTACCTCTCTAAACAACTAGACGGGGTTTCTGAAGGATGGCCCCCGCGTTTGAGGGCCTTGGCAGCAACTGCTCTGCTAGTACAAGAAGCAGATAAGCTGACTCTTGGGCAAAACCTGAACATAAAGGCCCCCCATGCTGTGGTGACTTTAATGAATACTAAAGGACATCATTGGTTAACGAATGCTAGACTCACCAAGTACCAAAGTTTGCTCTGTGAGAATTCCCGCATAACCATTGAGGTTTGTAATACCCTGAATCCCGCCACCTTGCTCCCAGTGTCAGAGAGCCCTGTCAAGCATGACTGTGTAGAAGTGTTGGACTCAGTTTACTCTAGCAGACCTGACCTCTGAGACCAGCCTTGGGCATCAGTAGACTGGGAACTATACGTGGATGGGAGCAGCTTCATCAACCCACAAGGAGAGAGATGTGCAGGGTATGCAGTGGTAAACCTGGACACTGTTGTTGAAGCCAGATCGTTGCCCCAGGGCACTTCAGCCAAGTAAGCTGAACTCATGGCTTTAATTTGGGCCTTAGAACTCAGTGAAGGTAAGACTGTAAACATTTACACTGATTCTCGATAGGCCTTTTTAACCCTTCAAGTGCATGGAGCATTATATAAAGAAAAGGGCCTATTGAACTCTGGGGGAAAGGACATAAAATATCAACAAGAAATCTCGCAATTATTAGAAGCAGTATGAAAACCCCACAAGGCGGCAGTTATGTATTGCAGAGGACACCAGCGAGCTTCCACCGTGGTGGGTTTGGGGAATTCTCGCGCTGACTCAGAGGCTCGAAAAGCAGTATCTGCCCCCTTCCAGGTATCGGTCACAGCCCTCCTTCTCCCTCAAGCACCTGATCTTGTACCTACTTATTCTAAAGAAGAAAAGGACTTTCTCCAGGCAGAGGGAGGACAAGTGATGGAGGAAGGATGGATTCGGTTACCAGATGGGAGAGTAGCTGTGCCACAGCTGATAGGAGCTGCAGTTGTACTGGCTGTGCTTGAAACCACCCATCTAGGTCAGGAGTCACTTGAAAAGTTGTTAGGTCTGTATTTCTACGTCTCTCATTTGTCAGCCCTTGCCAAAACGGTGACGCAGCAGTGTGTTACCTGCCGACAGCATAATGCGAGACAAGGTCCAGCCCTTCCACCCGGCATACAAGCTTATGGAGCAGCCCCCTTTGAAGACCTCCAGGTGGACTTCACAGAGATGCCAAAGTGTGGAGGTAGCAAGTATTTACTAGTTCTTCTGTGTACCTACTCTGGGTGGGTTGAGGCTTATCCAACACGAACTGAGAAAGCTCGTGAAGTAACCCATGTGCTTCTTTGAGCTCTTATTCCTAGATTTGGACTGCCCTTAGGGATCGGCTCAGATAATGGGCCGGCGTTTGTGGCTGACTTGGTACAGAAGACAGCAAAGGTATCGGGGATCACATGGAAATTGCATGCTGCCTATGGGCCTCAGAGTTCTGGAAAGGTGGAGCGGATGAATCGGACTATCAAAAATAGTTTAGGGAAAGTATGTCAGGAAACAGGATTAAACTGGATACAGGCTCTCCCTATGGTATTATTTAAAATTAGGTGTACCCCTTGTAAAAGAACAGGATATTCCCCTTATGAAATATTATATCATAGGCCCCTTCCATATTGTGGGGACTTCCAGGCACTCCCTGAGAGTTAGGTGAAATTGAGTTACAGTGACAGTTACAGGCTTTAGGGAAAATTACACAAATAATCTCAGCGTGGGTAAATGAGAGATGCCCTGTTAGCTTATTCTCCCCAGTTCACACTTTCTCCCCAGGTGATCAAGCGTGGATCAAGGACTGGAACGTAGCCTCTTTGTGCCCACGGTGGAAAGGACCCCAGACTGTTATCTTGACCACTCCCACCGCTGTGAGGGTAGAGGGAATCCCAGCCTAGATCCACCACAGCTGTGTAAAACCTGCAGCGCCTGAAACCTGGGGGGCAAGACTAAGCCTGGACAACTCTTGCAGAGTGACCCTGAAGAAGACAACAAGCCCTGCTCCAGTCATACCCAGAAGCTGACTGGTCCACGCATGGCCGAAGCATGAGGAATCTCATTGTGGGATTCATTTTTCTTAAATTTTGGACTTATACAGTAAGGACTTCAATTGACCTTACTCAAATTGGTGACTGTTCCCAGTGTATTTATCAGGTCACTGAGGTAGGACAGCAAATTAAAACAATCTTTCTGTTCTATAGTTATTATGAACGTATGGGAACATTGAAAGAAACTTGTTTGTATAATGCCACTCAGTAAAAGGTATGTAGCCTGCGAAATGACCAACCTGATGTGTGTTTTAACCCATCTGAGTCCCCTGCAACCACTGTTTTTGAAATGAGATTAAGAACTGGCCTTTTCCTAGGTGATACAAGTAAAATAATAACTAGAACAGAAGAAAAAGAAATCCTCAAACAAGTAACTTTAAGATTTGATGCTTGTGCAGCCATTAATCGTAACAAGCTAGGAAGAGGATATGGTTCTCTTAACTGGAAAAGGAGCTACAGAGTAGAAAATAAGTATGTTTGTCATGAGTCAGGGGTTTGTGAAAATTGTGCCTTTTGGCCATGTATTATTTGGGTTACTTGGAAAAAGAACAAAAAGGACCCGGTTCAACTTGAGAAGGGGGAAGCCAACCCCTCCTGTGCTGCTGGTCACTGTAACCCACTGGAACTAATAATCACCAATCCTCTAGACCCCCATTGGAAAAAGGGAGAATGTGTAACCCTGGGGATCGATGGGACAAGGTTAAACCCCCACGTTGCCATTTTAGTCCGAGGGGAGGCCTACAGGCGCTCTCCCAAACCAGTGTTTCAAACCTTTTATGAGGAGCTGAATCTGCCAGCACCAGAACTTCCGAAAAAGACAAAAAAATTGTTTCTCCAATTAGCAGAAAATGTAGCTCATTCCCGTAATGTTACTTCTTGTTATGTATGCGGGGGAACCACTATCGGAGACCGATGGCCTTGGGAAGCCTGAGAGTTGGTGCCCACTGATCCAGCTCCTGATATAATTCCAGTTCAGAAGGCCCAAGCTAGCAACTTCTGGGTCCTAAAAACCTCAATTATTGGACAATACTGTGTAGCTAGAGAAGGAAAAGACTTCATCATCCCTGTAGGAAAGCTTAATTGTATAGGACAGAAGTTGTGCAACAGCACAGCAAAAGCAGTTACTTGGTGGGGCCTAAATCACACTGAAAAGAACTCATTTAGTACATTTTCTAAATTAAAAACTGCCTGGGCTCATCCAGAATCTTATCAGGGCTGGACGGCTCCTGCTGGCCTATACTGGATATGTGGGCACAGAGCCTACATTTGGTTACCTAATAAATGGACAGGTAGTTGTGTTATTGGCACTATTAAACCGTCCTTTTTCTTATTACCTGTAAAAATGGGTGAGCTCCTAGGTTTCCCTGTCTATGCCTCCCAAGAAAAGAGAGGCATAGTTATAGGAAACCGGAAAGATAATGAGTGGCCTCCTGAAAGGATCATACAGTATTATGGGCCTGCCACATGGGCACAAGATGGCTCAGGGGGATACTGAACCCCCATTGACATGCTCAATCGGATCATACGGTTGCAGGCCATCTTAGAAATAATTACTAATGAAACTGGCAGAGCTTTGACTGTTTTAGCTCGGCAGGAAACCCAAATGAGAAATGCTATCTATCAGAATAGACTGGCCTTGGGCTACTTGCTGGCAGCTGAAGGAGGAGTCTGTGGAAAATTTAACTTAGCCAATTGTTGCCTATAAATAGATGATCAAGGACAGGTGGTTGAAAACATAGTCAGGGACATGACAAAGTTGGCACATGTGCCTGTACAGGTTTGGCATGAGTTTGATCCTGAGTCTTTATTTGGAAAATGGTTTCCAGCTATAGGAGGATTTAAAACCCTCATTGTAGGTGTATTGCTAGTAATAGGAACTTGCTTGATGCTCCCCTGTGTATTACCCTTGCTTTTTCAAATGATAAAAAGTTTTGTTGCTACTTTGGTTCATCAGAAAACTTCAGCACATGCGTATTATATGTATCACTATCCCTCTATCTCACAGAGACTCAGAAAGTGAAGATGAGAGTGAGAACTCCCACTAAAAAAGTGAAAATTCTCAAAGGGGGGAAATATAGAATGAGACCACCACTTCTCCTGCTGTCTTTCCCAGCTTTTCCCCGTCTCACCTTTTCCGTAGTTTATAAGACAAGAGAAGAGGGAGAAAGCAAAAAGTTGGAAAGAAACAGAAGTAAGATAAATAGCTAGATGACCTTGGCACTACCTCCTGGACCTGGTGGTTAAAATAATGATAATATTAACCCCTGACCAAAACTACTAGTGTTATCTGTAAATTCCAGACGTTGTATGAGAAAGCACTGTAAAACTTTTTGTTCTGTTAGCTGATGCATGTAGCCCCCCCATCACGTTTTCCAGGATTGCTTGATTTATCATGACCCTTTTACATGAATCTCTTAAAGTTGTAAGCCTTTAAAAAGGCCACGTATTTCTTCTTCAGGGAGCTCGGCTCTTAAGACGCGAGTCTGCCGACGCTCCCGGCTGAGTAAAAAACCTCTTCCTTCTTTAATCCGGTGTCTGAGGAGTTTTGTCTGCCGCTCCTCCTGCTACAATCCCAGCATGTGCCTGGTTTGGGGACGGTGGGCTGTCCTAGAGGAAGGGTCCAGACTGTGGGTACCTCGCAAGGCATCCTGGGAGTCATAGTCCTTTAACTATTTCCAGCCCATTGCTCATGGGGCTCCCGGACGCGCTGGGTTTGGGGGTGGTGTGTAGTATCAGAGGGAACGATAGAGAGGCGTGTCCCTAGCCAGGCGTGTCCCTAGCCAGGCGTGCTGGGACTTATGGTCTCTTAACGGTTTCCAGCCCACTGGCCGCGAATCTGCGGGCTACAATCTCAGCATGTGCTGTCTGTCCTCCCCGGTGGTGCACAGCCTTGGAGGGAGGGACAGGGCAGTGTGGACTTCGCCCCTTCCTAAGTGATGCCAGCCGCTGATTCTGTGTCACACTCTCGACCAAGGGAGTCTGGAGGAGGACTTGAGGGGCAGGTCTGGGCTGGGCGGTGAGGACGGTGTGACGCTGCGAAGTGCACCTCCTTTACTCAAATCGGAGGGGTCTGGTCCTCACCGCACAGCCCTCTGTACATCTCGGTGTCCTCTCCCATCCATATCGGGGGTTCTTTCCAGAGCATCGCGCCTCTTCCAGTCCAGGGAGCTGTGCTAAACTCTATGGGAACCGAGACATCCACCTGCTGGGTGGCCCGCCCGTGCACAACTTCAGAGCTTTTAGCAGGTGATTCGGACTGTGGCTCCTTCGTGAAAATGTCACGCTCTACGGCACCTTTCTTGTGATATAGAAGTTGACACGTGAGAGAGGATATTTATTGGGTTACCCAGGACTTGCTAACAGCAGAGGAGAAAACCACAATTCCCAGCCGTAAGAATCTACCCAAAGATGATGGTTTAGATATTTCACACTTGAAATCACCACCCTCCTCTCAACTGAGTCCTAACTGACAAGTGTCTCAAAACACAGTTGGTGACCTGATCCCTCAGGAATAGGTGGTGCTCCAGCTTTGTGGGAATGACTTTCAAGGTGCGGAACGCTTGGGCAGCATTTGAAGTCTATCTTGTTTTACTGCTTTGGATGGAAATTAATCACCCACAGCTGTTAGAAATATTCCTTAATATGCTGGGGCTTATCCGTTAAATTTTTCTGTCTAGATGAAAACCCAGAAGAACTTCTGCTTTCAGGTAACCTCTTAATAATCGACAGCCCTAAGTTCCTTATGTCCTCAGGACGGTTCCTTTGATTCCCAGATGATACCAGCTTTCGTGATGCATCTAATCTGTACAAACTTGGGTATTACTCTGTGTGAAAATAATACCTTGTTCTTATTATATGTTCTTATAATTTTCATTTGTGATTCGTGAGTATGGAACACTCTAAAAAAAACCCGAAAAACCTCATCATAGCAATTGAATTATGTTACTGTACTTTATGAAGAGTTAACCCCTTCAGGATTAATTACACATGGGTTCATCAGCACATTTGTAAAGAAAGGAAGAAAAACTGTATGGCATTTATGAAATGGAAAAATAAGGAATTATATATAGGAAGACCACAGCACAACACTAGGGCCATTCTCTTATTTTAAATAGACGCTATGGGGTCAAGTGCCCTCATTCCTACCCTATGCTGCAGTATTCTCATCCTACTCTTTACTGTGTATTTAGGTGGGGGTTTCTGAATTCACTTGTCCACAACGTTAGTGGGGATGTTGTAACATGAAGTTATCCATCATCTGCCATCTTAATAATTAATGAAGAGCCTTGGGATCTGTGTTCAGATACACTACTGCTGAGTGTGCCTGCAAAGACACTGCCCACAGTGGTGGTCTCAGAATGTTGAACCTGATGCCACCACAGCTGCTGTTCACAGATCTCGGTCCTCCTTGTGATTTGAGTCTCCTGCTTAGATTTGTGATTGTGAACCTGCTATGCTCACCCCATTTATAGTTATATCTTTTGTATTGCCTTTTCTATTCCATTTGTTTCCTGGGAACTCACTGTGTAACAGCAATTCAGAGAATATGTAGGGATTCCACTCCCACTACCTAAGTCACTGTACACTGGTGACATTTGTGTCATGTTGTCAGACTCCACGCTCTTCCTCTGCAGTGGAATTTGTTGAAGAAGCATAGTTACCTGTAGATCTCCTCAGTCTAATGCTGCTGGGATTGATTATGAAGCTGGGCATGTTGTGCTTGGCCTCATTGACATTATTCAAAATATCTTTCCCATATTTTGAACTCTGATACTACTTTCTTAATGTGAACACTTGGATCTCTGCCTTCACAGTGTGTGGGCTTACCTCCTTTTCTATTTTGTGCATCTCTACTAGCATCTGCAAGGGCACAGGTTTTATTCTTAGTCCATCTTCTACTTCATGATAGGAAATTTGCCAAATAGGTGCTTAGTGGGAAAGAAAACTCACTGGCATTTTTCCTTCTCTCTGTTCCTTCTTACCCTGGCAGGTGTGAGAGATATCGAGTGAGATGGAGCAGTGGTAGATCGTGACCAGCTCTCACCTGGAATATTGGTTATTATAAAAAGATAATCCTCTCACTTTTTGCAAGCATAATTTATTTGTCTTAGAGTTTTTCTGGGCTTTCCCTTACAGGTTTCTACTCATGAAGTGCAAATATTGATGAAGATAATACTACTGCCTTGATGCCAGACAGTAACAGTCGCCTTTTTTTTTGTATCTACAATTATAAATGAAATGCATACTATAAAAAGAAAAGAACACATCATAAATATCTTTATAAAGTAAAAGTCTTAGTTGGTGGCTGGGAGCGGTGGCTCATGTCTGTAATTCCAGCACTTTGTGAGGCGCAGGCGGGAGGATTATGAGACGAGGAATTTGAGACCAGCCTGGCCAACATGGTGAAATCCCATCTCTACTAAAAAAAATACAAAAATTAGCTGGGCGTGGTGGTGGGTGCCTGTAGTCACAGCTATCCAGGAGGCTGAGGCAGGAGAATCGCTTGAACTCAGGAGGCAGAGGCTACAGTGAGCTGAGATCATGCCACTGCACTCTAGCCTGGGCAACAGAATGAGACTCCATCTCAAAAACAAACAAAACAAAAATCCTTGGCTAACTCAGTGGCTCAATCCCAGCACTTTGGGAGCCCAAGGCAGGTGAAATTTTTGAGCCCAGAAGCTCAAGACCAGTCTGGGCAACATGGTAAAATCCTCTATCTATAAAATATATGAAAATTAGCCAGTTGTGGTGATGTACACCTGTATTCCCAGCTACTAGGGAGGCTGAGGTGGGAAGATTGTTTGAGCCTGGGAGGCCAACTTTGCAGTGAGCTGTAATCGTGCCACTGTGCTTCCATCGGGGCAACAAAGTGAGATCCTGCCTCAAAAATAAAAACATAATCAACTGAAAGTCTCCCCTCTATTCCCTTCTCTTCAAACTCACTTTTTTTTCCTTTGAGAAAAACTATTAAGAGGTTGTTTTTTATTATTCTGGCTATGTTCCATACACTTATTTTTTTTTTCTTTTCTTTTCTTTTCTTTTTCTTTTTTCTTTTTTTTTCTTTTTTTGAGATGGAGTCTTGCTCTGTCACCCAGGCTGGAGTGCAGTGGTGCGATCTCGGCTCACTGCGAGCTCCGCCTCCCGGGTTCACGCCATTCTCCTGCCTCATCCTCCCGAGTAGCTGGGACTACAGGCTCCCACCACCACGCCTGGCTAATTTTTTATATTTTTAGTAGAGACGGGTTTTCGCCATGTTATCCAGGATGATCTCGATCTCCTGACCTCGTGATCTGCCCACCTCGGCCTCCCAGAGTGCTGGGATTACAGGCATGAGCCACCGCGCCCAGCCCGTTCTATAAATTTCTAAGTGATACACATAAAGTTTATTTTAAAAATTACATCATACTACATTGTTTTTTAAATTTACTCTTTCTCTAGCTGTATTTTATCTATCTATCTATCTATCTATCTATCTATCTATCTATCTATCTATGACAAGGCCTTGCTCTGTCACCCCGACTGGAGTTGAGTAGTTCAATTATGGCTCCTTGCAGACTCAAACTCCAGGTTCAAATGATTCCCTAACTTCAGCTTCTGAAGTATGTGGGAGTACAGGTGCATGCTACTACGCCTGACTAATTGTTAGTTTAGTTTTGTTGTTTTAAACAGGGTCTCACTGTGTCACCCAGGCTGGAATGCAATGGCATAATCACAGCTCACTGTAGCTTGACCACTCAGACTCAGGCAATTTTCCTGCCTGAGCCTCCTGGGTAGCTGGGACCATAAATGTATATTAGCTCACTTGGCTATTTTTTATTATTGTTATTTATAGATACAGGATCGCCGAATGCTGCCCAGGTTTGTAGTGAACTCTTGGGCTTAGGCAATCTGCTACCTCAGCCTCCCAAAGTGCTGGGATTACAGGTGTGAGCGACCACAACTTACCCAGCCTTTTTATTTGGTGTAAGAATAGCATCAGCATATTAAAAATATAATGGCAATTATTTATGGTGTCTTTTCAATCCTTATGCATTAAAATTCTCTTATTAGAGTCTTTTATTAATGGTTATTGTGTATTTTCTATAAAATTTTACTGTCATACACTACATGTCAAAGATTCAAGACACCCAAAATTCATGAATGCAAAGTCACAGTAGAATATTGTACTTGTCTAAAAAAAATTTTTATAAATGATACATCAAGTTTGCATACAAGGTAGCCGAGTGTGGTGGCAGGCGCCTGTAATCTCAGTGAAGGCTGAGGTAGGAAAATGGCTTGAACCCAGGAGGCAGAGGTTGAAATGAGCCGACATCGTGCCACTGCATCTCAGCCTGAGTGACAGAGTGAAACTGTTTCAAAAAAAAAAAAAAAAAAGTTTGCATACAAGATTTTGTGAGGAAATGTTTTTCTTATTTTTCTTTACAATTCCATATTACTGTCTTAATTATCTCAATTATTTAGAATAGGTTCCAGGGCAGCAGTTGATTTTATTTTGGGTTTTACCTATGTATTATAATTTTGGATGTT